GCAAATTTTGTCAAATGGGCCCAACTTTTTGTGCTTGTATTGAGTTTGTAACATGGTCCACGACCCATGATCCTTCCCACTTGCCTTCATTTCATTTTTGTCATTTATTTTGATTTTTATTTCATTTAAATCAAATTAAATCAAAATAAAATCATGAAAATATCAAAATCATTTAAACCTTGAGATTTTGTGCATATTTCAGGTCCATGAATAGCTGGCAATGAGATCAAATCGTGCAAGGCTTGTTTGTACACACAAATATTGGTTTTTGGCTTGTTTTGGAAAGATTTACATGAGAATAAAATCTCGATCAATGATCATTATTGTAGAAGATTTGAAACAAATTTGTAAACCTAATTCACTCAGGCTACATATAGAACAAATCCAGACCAAAAGCACAAGAGTTGGAGGCGTGAGAAGCTGAGAAAGAACTTGAAAAAAATCACCAAAAAGTGTTGAATCAAATTGCAGATTAGAGGACAATTTACACCATTCCAAGGCTAGCAATTGATTCCCAGCCATCCCCTGAAGCTAACCTGATCATAATCAAGTCTTGATTTACCCAGAATCAGTTCAACAAAACTACGCTAAAGCGCTGCACAAACTCTTTTGAGATATTCTTTGTATAGTTTTTTAAATAAGCAATGAGCTTTTGTTTGTTTCTTGCTATCAACACTTTTGTGTTTTTGTACTTAAATATTGTGTAATCTTCTTATTAGAAGCGTCTCTTTATACACATCTTTGTAAATCAACGATTGTTGATAGGTTCCTTTAGAGTCTTAGTGAGTCAGGATTCTCAAGAAGACTTTGACTGCGGTCATCATGGATTGGTAATAAGGATCGACAGACTTGTTGGGGTTATCAACAAGGTTGATCAGACTTATTGTGGGTGTCTGTAATCGGTTGATTATAGTGGATTAAGTCCTTCTGGATAAGGAAAATCACCTTGCAGGGTGGACTGGAGTAACTTAGTTAATAGTGAACCAGGATAAAAATAATTGTGTTTATCCTTTTTATTCACCTATTAATATTTGTGTTTGAGTTATGAAAAGTTTATATTTGGTGCAACCTAATTCAAACCTTCCTTTCTTGTGTTCTCACACCTTGACATAACATGTGCGACATTGCTAGTTGAACTAGGAGATGTAAGTTTTTTTCTTCTATATTTGACAAGTTGTAATTCCTTGCACATAAATAAGAACTTCCTCATCATAATTGTTTGTTGGTTCACTTTTCCTATATATCATCATTTTAAAGGGATTATGTTCTTCATGAAATCCTTGTAAAATAACATCAATATGATATCTTTCAGAAATTGGATCTTCAATGTCTAGGAGTGAATTAGCCATGGCACGAATCCTTAACACATACTTTGATATGGATCTACTTCCTTTCTTGCTAGTCTTTAGTTCATAAATTACCTAGTTCCCACGAGCCTTCATTTGAGAGTTGAAGTGCTTATGCACTTTGTCTTAAACCTCCTACACATGCTTGTAAGAAAGAACTCATGGTAACACAACTTCAGAGATCATGGAAAGAAGCCATGTGAACATCGTTTGGTCTTGCACGATCTAGACTTCATAATTTTCCGATACAATGTTTACCAATCGATCATTATCCATTTTGAATAGTCAAGGAATCTGCGGATTAACTACCACTTTATGGAGTTTATGCGAGAGAAATACTCCTTTAACTTGTTGATTCCAATGGAAGAATTTTTTTTCTTGCAACTTGATTGATATTTTTGGATCAAACGTGTTTGCTTCACTTGGAAACTTTATTTGAGATGTAGTAGCTTGAGAAGAATTCATGACTGGTAGAGAGTTGATTAATGATGATTCAAGTTTTACCGTTGATGCTTCTTTGAAGCTATTTGAAGAGCTCATGTTGAACCTGGAGATGTTAATACTGATAGATCTTCTTTGAAGTTTGGATCTTCACCTATGGTGAAGATGATGTGAATGATAATTCAGTGGAAATACAATCTCTTCTAGGCTAATACCATGATAATAAGTAGAGTTTAGCCTAAATCATCCCTACAAAACTTGTTTGTAAAGTGAGAGGTTTCATTCTATATAAACTCTATAGAGGCTCTATGTTTAATGATGACATTATGTTATTGTATGTATTTTGTTGAAGAAACAGAGATAAACAAGTCAAAGATGATCAAATTTGAAGAATAACGACAAAAGATTGATGCAAAAATGACCAAGTATGAAGAAATAAAGACTTTAAAAAGGAAATTTTGGATTCTTTTCAAGGGTTCTGCGATTTTAGACTGCAAGTGACGAATTACAACACCGAGAGTGAGATTTAGAGTGCATTTGAAGATATTGGAGGTCAGCTCTTCAAGGAAATTATTATGCAACCTTCTTCTTATCAATTGGTATTTTAATTGTATCAGTATGAGTAGTTAAATACTCTTAGGTTAGGTTTTGTCTGATGAACTTATTTTGAACCTATTGGGACATATGTTTAATTTGATATTGCATGACTAATCTTAGTTATATTTCTATTTAATTGCCTCTTATACTTAAAGTGCATTATTTGAGATACTTTATTAATGTAATTTTAGTCGTATAGGGAATACTGACCTTTAGCCTATGTGTTTGACCTAGGGAAATATTGTACTTATGCTGGTTGAACAGGGATAAGTGACCTCGAGTAGTGGCATTAGAATTAACGTATTGTGTCATTGCTTGATTTCACTAACGTCAGTTGAATAGGGATATGAGACCTATAATAGAGATTTGTAAGCTACCAAGGGATTAAGTATAATGGTTTTGTTAATTCGCCTGGAAATATAACTAAGTTACATTCATGTAATGCATTAGACATCAACAGAAGATAAATAAGAGATTCTAGATAAAACCCGACCGCTTTCTCTTAATTGTCAGAACAACTTTTCTTTTTCACAATATAAACTCGAAAACCCCTCATTTCTTACTTTCTTAACATTGCATAATTGTTATCTGGTTAAATAGAAGTCCCTCTGGATACAATATATTTTTATTATTTTGACATTATCGATACACTTGCCGAGAAGTCATCATTTAACCAATGCGAGACTTGAAATCTTTCCAATATACCCCTCACTCTTTTTGGGCTTATTAATGTTTGACCTAACTCATCCTTAAAAAACTGACTTGTAACGTGATGGATGTCACTCTATATAAATTCTTTAGAGGCTCTATGTCTAACAAATATGAGACTTGGAATCTTTCCAGTACACCCCTTCAAACCCAACACTCTTTTGGACTTTATATGTGGATACTAATGGTGGACGGCCCATGGTTTGATCGATAGACTCTTCTACCATATTGGAGTTTGGTATAACTCATCCTTACAATTGGGCGTGAGAGGGTATATTGGGAAGAACCAAGTTCCTTGTATCAAAAATTTGGACCACCCACCATTTATATCCAAGCACCAAGCCCAAAAAGAGTGATGGGCATGAGGGGCTGTATTGAAAAGATTTCAAGTCTCACATTTGTTAAACATAAAATCTCTAAAGAGCTTATATAGAGCGACTTCCATCACTTTACAAATCAGTTTTTTAAGAATGAGTAGGACTAAACTCTAATAGTGAGGAGATTCAATAACTATATTATTGTAATGAATATCAATATTTAATGATTATGGGTCTGTTTCAAAATAACAAGAAAACGAGCAACTGAGTAAGTGAACAATCAATACATGACAAATAGTCCCAGGTAGAAAATTTGCACTCACTTTAATAGACTATATAAATAAATACATTCATTAACTAAACAAAGGAGTTAAAGAGGATAAAAGTGTCACATGGACAAGTGTGCTGGTCCCAAGTTTTATGTCACTTGTCTTCCCACAATTCTCACCATCGAAATCGCCATCGACGACACCGACTCCAACTTCAAGATCAGAGACGTAGACATAGAGACACTAGTGGCAGCTTGTAGGCGGGACTTGAGCACTTAGACACAACGCATTAAAGCAACACTTGGTGTGAAGTGTTGTTGAAATGGTGTGTTACATTAAGCGTCACAACCATGTGAAATCACGCCACTTAACCTATAAAATGGCCATTCCCGATTCATAAAATCACATATACAAAAACCTATCATTTTCACATAAAATTTTGTATTTCCATCTTCCCTACATTCGAGATTTCATTTGTCTTATACAAATTCAAATATAGGTTAAATTATCATGAGTATTTATGCACATTAACACTAAAATATTTTTTTAAGTGTTTGAAATACTATTAAGAAAATAATTACATTGATGATTCAAATCTGGATTCATTCAACTTAAAAAGTTTATATATATATATATATATATATATATATATATATATATATATATATATATATATATATATATATATATATATATATATATATATATATATATATATATATATATATAAACAAAAATCAAAATTTAAAAGACAAACAATTAAAACATTTAACATATAAGAGAGACATGCAACATGAAACTTCAATGCACATAATTGAAAGGAATAAAATTGATGTGGTGAGGATTTGCACTAGTAAAAACCCAACTGATATCATTACTAAGCAAACATCGTTTGAATTTGATAAGAATCCAATTGGATTATGTAGTGAGTGGACATCAAATGGATATGACTTGCTTGTAATATATTTCTTCTCTCAAACTTACTAGAACTAATGGGAGTACTGTTGAATATTACCAAAGACAATTGAGATATAATATTCATTAACACATTCATAAGTACTTAGTGAGAAAGCGCTAATATGCACAATATTAATTAACAAAGATAAATTCATGATTTTAGAATGATTCTGCACACTAACTAACGTAAATTTTTTGCATTCTTTTTCATGCAATAAATCAAACTATATATCTTTCAATACACAATGAAACTTCAATTTATAAAAACCAAACACATTTTCTTGTTCATTGTGTTTTTGCAATTCTTAATTAATTGTAAACAAAAGCATTACAATTACTAGAATCACCACTTGTATATTGGCAGATCAAAGAGATAATCTTAGCTCCAAATCTGGTTCTTGAGTGTCACTTGATTCTGAATTCTGACTGCTTGTGGAACCACTTCTATGCTTCTTGGTATCTACGTATTGTGAGTCCTAATTATAGAAGCAAATATAATCAAACTCATTTTAAATTTATTGGTAGACTATTTCAATTTAAATATATATTTAAATTTATACAAAAAGTTGAAATAACTACAGAAATATAAAGACAAAAAAAAAGTTCATCTCTAATTATATTGTTAAATGATTTTTTTTTGTCTTAAATTTTAATTGATATTTCATTACTTTTTTCTTGTGTTGAAATATGTAAAAAATGAACCCTTACATATAGGTTAAGTAACGGTTTTGTTGTGTTGGATTGAGCAATGGCATTGGCATGTTCCCATGATCTGAATAAACATATAAGTAAGAAGTTCATCATGAGAGATTATTTTGTTATAGAAGAAATAAAAGTAATAATGAAACTAATGAGACTAAAAAATTTAAGTACCTTAATGAATCAATTGGTTGAGAATCTCCATATATTATGTTTGTTCTTTCATATTGAGGTTGGCCCATCTTCAAAAGAAAATCAACTTTTTTTATCAACAAAATCAAGAATATTTCGAAGAGAGTACAAGAAATGCTATAATATATTCAATGCAAAATAATAAATACAAAGAGTTAGATGTTTAAGAAAGAGGAAGAAAATCGATTATAGTATTACTAAGAGAGCATAAGAAATGCTATAATTCAATACTAAATGATAATAATAAAGATTTGTTATTAAGAAAGTCATAAATTAAACAACAAAAATCTCTAAAACAAAAAAAAAGGATGGAATGTTTTTACACAATTTGATATGAGAAATAATTCACTAAGATGTTATATCAAGGATAATATTTGGGTTAAATCAAATTTCTATTTCATTAATGGTAGTTTTTCTATAATTATGATGCCAATGAAAGTAAATTATTTTATTAATTTTGATGATATATTTTCCATCTAGCCCAACACATATTTAATATCATCTAGGTTTAGTATACTTCACTTGTATCAAATTCAACTAACTATATACATAGAACATTGAGAAATAGTTGAGATCCAAAAATAAATTTTCTAGGGTTATTGAGTATATGTTATATAAACTTTTGAATAATCAGATGATAAGTATCATGTCAAGTCATGTCATTCCAACAAAGAAAAAATAACAATTAAGGGTTAGAAAAATAGTGACCTTGATTACTTTAGGAACATTACAACCCACTTGGATATCATTTTTTATTTTGGTATCATATTCATTGTTATAGTACTAGTATGACAATTATGAAAATATGTGTAAAACTACTTATCACAAAAGAATGAAAAAGAAAACATATAGTACCATTAAGAGAATAAATAAAAATTGGGATCCAAAGCAACAAAACAAATTCACATACCACAATGTTTGGTTGAAAACCATGTGAAGCTGAGTAAGATGTAGAAGAAGATGAGTAAGAAAAAGAGGAAGAAGAAGGTATAGATGAATATGGTGTTTGCACTCTTGGATCTTCCTACATGATCATCAAAAATAAATTAAAATTAAATTCCATAAAATTAATTAATTTCATACATCCAAAAATAAAACTATTTATTAAAGCATAATACAACTAAAAAATAATTAAAAATAATTAAGAAACTTACATTGATAAAACTAGATGGATAAGGATTATGAAGAGGAGGATGAAAAGCATAAGCCATTTCACCATGTAATCTAATTTTCTCCAATTGAGCAACACCTAATCCTCTTTGTGGTTGCTTTGGTTTATCTTGATTATTTTTCTTCCCTTTTCTTGAAGATGATGAAGATCCACTTACTCTTTCATTTCCCATGTTTGAATCTCCAAAATAATTACTACTATCCATATTCTAATTTCTTCTATGATCTATCAAGAGGGTGTAGATGATGATGAATATGTTGCTTTGAAATCAGAGATCTCATATGCTCTTTTTTTAAGCTATTAACACAAAACTTAGGAATAATTGCATAGCTGGATCAGATTGTGTTTAGATTTCAATCTCAAGTTATATATATACGACTAGATTCTATATGATTTTTATCTCTCTTAATATCTCTCCATGCTTCAATTATTTTTTTTTCTTGAGTCATGTGAGAGAGACTATATAAAAATTCTATGCAGAAAGATATAATCACGCGTTTAAGACTATAATTTTAATAATAAATACAAAATGAAAATTGAAGATTACATGTGTTAGTTTTTTTAATAAATAAATAAATATTGAATTATTACAACATTTAAATCTTCATCATCAATACATAATTTCTCTAACTTCTTTGTGAAGGGTTTGAGAGGATACTCAGTCATGTGTTAGCTTTCACTATATATATGTTGGAGAGTACTTTTTATACTCATGTTAAACCTATTATATTGTTCTTCTTTTGTTGTTCAATAAAAAATGAATAAAAAAATGAATTACATAATATATGTTTAAAGAGTAGAAACTATTTATAATTTGGTGATTTTTTTATTTCTTTATTTTTGTGTTAGGTCTATGTCATCCGGATATTTTTTCTTTTTTCTTTGTTTTTTCAAAAATACTTTTAATTTATATAAAAAATTGTACAACAAATAATTAAATTAAAAAGTAGTTGTTAGAAAGTATGACTTATTTTGTAAGAAAATTGTAAATACATCAATTAGGATTGACATCTATATATATGGTTAGATATTATTTTTTATTAGATGAAGAAAAATACTTTTTTTTTTCAATTTTCATCTAATATATATATATATTAAAAAGTAAAAATAACTATTAGAAATTCATGTGCACAATTCTCGAGTTTTAACTAAACAAAATGTTCAACATATTTATTAGTTTGGTTAGATCTTATAAAAATAATACTTTATTTTGTTATTGTATTAATTAATATATATATATATGATCATACTTTAATTACATTTCTCCATTGTCTATAAAAAACAACTTTTTTGAATATTTATTATTGGGACATTGAAGGCTATCTTTGAAAGCGATTGTCTCTAATTTTAAAATGTTACACAAGCTGTATTGGTATAGGCTTATAGCCACGCGCCACAAGGTAGGTTGCAAGTGAATTTTTTTATAATTTATTGATCATATGATATTGGTGATTGAATAATTTGCATTTTTTTTTTTGTAGATGTTTGCTCAAACTTTCTTTCTATTAAAAAATTGGATGAGGTATGCTATGATCGATGATGATGAGGTTGGCACATTTATCGGTCTTTATCTATGCAATTAGCATTGCTGTAATAAAAGAAATGTAAGTAATTTGTGAGTTAGAAGAACCTGTTGACACCACATATTATATTGATATAACGTAGTTATATCTTCAACCAACATTTTTGTAAAGTGGTTTATAGGTAATAGCTCAAATCACTCTTGTTCTAAGAATCAGAAGGTAATGAAAGGAGAATGGAGAATTGGGTCCGGTCTATCGAAAATATGAGTTTTATCTGTATTTTTTTTGGAGCATATTAAGTTGTTAAAGTCCACTTTTTTTTAATCCGTGGGATCTATCTCGTTCCGTTTTTTTTAAAGTTTTTATAGATGCAAATATTTTTAAGAATTTTTCAATTTTTAGTTTTTATTGGTGCAAGACTCGCATGTCCACATCCGTCTCGCCCTTATTTTTTTGGAGGATTGTTCAAGATTTTAGGTTTTCACTCGAGATGGGAGATTAAATAGAGCGGACAAATCCGTTTGTCACCTCTAAATGAAATCACTGCAGTAATGTTTGACAACTCATAAATGTTATTCTCAAAAGTGGAGGTGTATAAGTAGATATTCTGATAATTAAATTAAGGTTTAATAACATTTTTTATCCTTGTGTTTTTGACCAATTCACGAAATTGGTCCTTCCATTTTAAAACAGAATAAAGGAGTCCCTAAACTGGTTGCAATATTAGTCCTAACCCCTCATTTCCCCTCCAAAAAACACTGGTGTGTCCAATAAAGTCATCCACTAAATATTTACATGTAACTAAAACCTGAATATATTATTTAAAAATGTTTGATTTAACATTTCATAAATTAAAAAGGAAAAAAGTTAAAACAAAAAATGATATTTAATTCCAGGCTAAAATTATACTCTTTAGCATCTGAAACAAGCTCCAACAGGTCACCATTAGTGTTTAAAGGCTTAAGTCCAAGTTGAAATGATAGCTTTGGATGCTGGTACCACAAATACTTGAACTTCACATATCCAACACTGAGCACCAGATTTGTAATATCCTCATAGTTCACCCAATCAACATCAAAAGTGTCTTCCATCTCATAAACAAGACCCTCCACATACACTTTGACATAGAAACATACAAATTTATCCACATGGTTGATACGTAACTTCAAACTTTTGGTCATCACTTGACCTATGCATATCACTACCACAACAAACAAAAAAACCCTAATTTATAAGACTTCTTTGCAACAAAATAACTTTTGAGCAATAAAACCTAATTGATAACACAAGTTACATACCTGAAACAATATTTTGAATTGTCTTCATCGTCCTTCGCTGACATGGTCGATTTGATGGAAGATGGAAGACAAAGAAGAATACGAAGAATATGTTCTATATGGGAAGGAAGAGATTATATGTAATTTCTAAAAATGATTTTATTATTTTTGTCTTATTTTAGAAATTAATTTGATGAACTAATAATTTAAATTTCCAAATATGCATTGCTACGTAAGTGTTCTTCTGACCACATCACTTAAAATTTGGACACATAAGCGTTTTTGGAGGGGAAATGCAATGTTAGGGCTAATATTGCAACCAACAAGATAGTTTAGGAGCTGTTTTGTTCTGTTTTAAAATGGAAGGACCAATTTCGTGAGATGGTAAAAATATGAGGACCAAAAGTGTAATTAAGTCTTAAATTAATAAAAGTCATGATTTGTAGGTAGATTTGTTGACTTGAGATATAACATGTAGTAAGGTAGTTCTTTAGTAGTTGCGATCTGTTTTTGGGTGGTCTCATCTTTATTTGCGTTTTTGGGTTGTTTGATTTTTCCTTTGTTGTATCTTGTTTAGTTGTAATTGTTCTCATGCACTTCTTGTGGGTTGTGAATTCTTTGTTGTACGCTGGTATTTATTTATTTTTTTAATATATTATACTTGTCATTGAAGAAAAAGAAGTCATGAATGTAAGATTTTAGATTTTTCTCTAGTAGAAATCAGTTATTCCTACACGCTACTGTAGAGATTAATCTTTCGAGTTCGAGAGTACCATAATAAGTGGTAAAAGTCTTCTTTAGGAGAATTCAATATGCGTCTAAAATTGAGTTCAAACACAAGACCTTTGGTTACACTGGAAGAGATCTCTTATCATTTTATTATTCTTTGGTTAAATTTAGAACAATATGTATTTAAAATGTTAGTTTCATTATAATAAATATTTAGGATTTAAATATCATAATCTTTTTCCTGGACAAGTGTCAATAGAAACCAGTGTCATAAGATGTTTTAAATTTATTTATTTAACAATTTCTTCGAACTCGTCAAACTTAATTCAATTACTTAGAGTGTTTCAATCATATTGTCAACCTAGCACATTGTCAACCTAGCGAATAATGTATAGGGAGATATAATCTTATATGGATTGGATCTTGGTTTAGTTCAAGACAAGAGCATTGTTGAATTTGTTTTTATTTATAAGGTTGTTTAATGTTTGGTCGCAATCTAGAGATTTTGATTAGGAGTTTCGATTATATGATTAGTTATTTTTTTACTTATGATTCTAGCTAATTTTTTTTTATATTATTTGAACATTACGAGTAGGAGTGAGAAAAAATACCTAATATATTGGACATTGCATTTTCTCATTTTTTTTTGTTGGACGAATCAAGATTTTAGTTCGACGCCCTTAAATGTGTCCGCTTCATCCCAATTTTTTTTTTGAATTTTACGGACGCAAACATTCACATAACTTAGTTTCATTTTTAAATTTAAAAATACGAAATTAACCACACTCTCAATTATGTTTTTCCCATTCTACCCATTTTTAAAAGCTTTTAGAAAAAGACATCAATACCCCTTTGTCTCCTCCTAACTTTTGATGCCTTTGTACTCTTATTTATTTAATATATTTTTGAATTATAAAAAGTTAATTAAATTAATCTAACTATCAAAACATTTATATTGATTTGTTATGTCTATAAATAAAGTGATAATATTCACTATAAAATATAAATTTACACAATTGATAAATTTTAAATTTATATTTGAACTAATAATATTTAACTAATAATAAAATAGAACATACAAACATTAATATGTTTATGTGTATATATATATATATATATATATATATATA